CTTCACCGTTAGTTATTGAAGTTATAAATCAACAAATCGGGGGCATCCTGAAGAACTGTTGAACGGTGAAAAGATGTATGTATATAGTAGGAAGCAGGTACCAAAGAACCAAAAACGTATTCTCTCGAAGCCCACTAGGATGGTGATCAAAGGGTTCAAAGGAACGTTCAAGTGTCTTGCTGCTGAAGAGAGAATCAGCTATCCTGCCGTTGCTGCTTTGTGAGCTAATGAGAAACCCGATAAATGTTAATTGTGCACTCCACAAACTATTATTTCCATTATAAAACAACTTGTATATGCACGTCATAATAAGCCCCCTAAAATAGGCTACATTATCACCTACTGTTCACAGGGTGATGTCAAAAGGTAATACCTAAAAATAAGGAGTATTTCCTGACACAACTAATCGACTACTAGTGCCCCTGTTTGTTCACTGTGACTCGTCCCATCTAAGCCGCATTTAGCTGAAACAAAACACGTTCTGTTAAACGTGGGCAGTATAATTTGCTCTCAGAATGCAAAATAAAACAGGCGTACTTGCGACACACGTTTTCTGATATCTTTTAAAGTCAAAAGAATGAAACCGGCGTCCCGATTTATTCTTTTGTGTTCTCAGTTTTCATTGTATTCCATCGCCTGGCGATTTTACAGGTATTGACCAAACTCGTGCAACATCTTCATTTTCATCACATTTGTCCCTCTCAATGCTTTGTTCTTCCAGGCTCATTCACGGCATTGAATATTATATTGTCCCACGTCAGACAAACATATCTGATATAGTACCCACTTATGTCACTGCTTCTGTTAGCCATATGCTAGTACTGTTCACCAGTTATTTTTCCCAACCTCCTAAAGAAGGATTTTAATTTGCTTCGACGTGGAATAACCATTATTAGTCATGTCTCTTCAATCCCGCTAAAGTAGTTGGTAACTAACCTATGGCAACGTCATTCGAATGCATGTGAAAAGTTTGCACATAAGATTATCCTGGACTCCACACATCTATTACATGCATATTTAACTTCCTGTCGTTCCCACTCTTCCACAAGATCACAATATCGTTGTGTTCCCTCTCGAATAAACATTTATCGTAACTCCACAGTACCCTCATTAGCACGTATTCTTGTTAACAAAGAGCAGGTTTTCACAGACTTTGTTAACAGTTTTCGGATTTAATTTCCGTTTCTTTTCCATTGTAATTGTTTTATATATATATATATATTTTCCCCCTTACCCCAAACTGTGTACTTTTAACTGAAATGTAGGCTTCATGCCTGCAGAAGTTAGCACAATACAATACAAAACAATACAGTAAAATGTACAATTTCGAGATTTTGACGACGGTTGCTGGCGCATCAGTTGTAAAATAACAAAGTCACAGTAGAGAATGTAACTTTAATTTAATTATTAAAACGACTCTTGGACATTATACCGGTATTATGCTTCCATCTCATTCATGTTCCATCTGCCCTCCTTCAGTTTTGAGCACTCCAGGCAGTCGCTTTAGCATAAAATCCACCAAGTTGACTGCCAAACAGAACTTGGAAGTTTCATCTAATACACCCTTACACACACACACGCACACCCTTACCACTGGCGACCAATGGCAAGGTGTCTAACTTATCCCTGCTTCAGATAGAAGGAAATGTTTTCTACTAAATAAATGCCAGCTGCTGCGCGGTAATAGAACGAATTTGACATTGAACTTGACACCTCTAGAAACTGCATAAACGTGAAAAAATAATATTTATTTATTGTCTAACCGTTTTCTGCCACCAACCTCAAGCGAGCTCATTTACCAAACTTCATGTGTGAAAAGTATGACTTCCGCGAATGCATGTTGGGGATGACAGTTATCAAAAACCTCCCTTATCAGTGCAAGAAATTTTACTATGTCCATATTGGCGTATGCAGGAGACCAACAACAATGAGCTCAATATTCACTTCTCTTCCAACTTGTTAGGCGGGATAGATATTTACTTCTTTGACAGGTAAAAAGATATTTATTAGAAAGCTAGCTCAGTAGATCAGCTTTCATATTATGCTGAATTACTCGTTGGCCACCAGTGAGATAAACCCATTATTAAATGCGCGGGCGACGCGATTTGAATTTGTCGGTAAAATCAATACGCGCTATGCTTTGTTGGGCGTTCAATAACGGTTTTATGTTAAGTGGTCTCAGCTACATTTTGAATTGGACCACCATTTTCCAATCGAAAGTGTAGGGGAAAAACAGCTAATCAGCCCGGACTATCCTCCAGAATGGTTTTGTGCAACTCTTCTCTGCTGCGATAAAATACAACCATCATCTTACTCTGATATGGCTGGNACGTCTTGATGGAGAAATTTCGTGGAATATGTTATAAATTGGACTTATGTTCAAATTGAAGCACTTCCACAAAACGCCAACTGAGTCATCAGGTTTATGTGCCTCTCGATTAAGTTACCCTTCGGCTTCAACTATACGCCATAACCTTTTTGAATATTCATCCGGTTTGGACATGGTGACACTCCAGGACGCTTATTCAACGAGCCGCACACCTCAAGGTCAACTTTCGAAGATCAACTTGTGTGTTTCTTGGACTGTTTCCAGTTCTTCCAGTATTGTAGGTAATACGTGAGTTGTTTGTAACTAATTAATTTTTCAATTTACTCAAGCTAGAATATTTTGATTAATTCGCTTATTTAATGTGCACTGAATGAAATGAGATAAGCAATTTACAATACATTTGCTGAACTTATTAAACAATCCCATGGGACAGAAATCATCTTTTGAAACGAATGAATTCCCATACTGCTATGCATAAGATATTTTCAAAATCAGAGCTGTAACTTTTGAACTACTACAATTTGTATCGCGACACTCAAGGTCACGCAAATTCAAACGGTGACAGAAAATAAATAAGAACATAGATGTTGGAGATAAAGTCAGTAATAAATACAGTTAACTCATAGCCATCTATATATAAGTATGATATTTCTAACTAAAATGGATTTCCAAAATGGAGCTGATGTTGGAAAAGTTTGGTTAATACCTGTATATGACCCCAGATGTTGAAACATAAAGCAAAAGTTCCGATTCAATTCGTTTTTTTACTTTGAAAAACCATATCCATTTTCCATTTATCTTCGAACGCAACTCGAAATTCCGTGAAGATTTTTCGAGTCATTAGATTGTAAAAAGATATCCTAGCGGGATGTGTATTGCAGAGGCCACTTAGGAATATGATGCCGAACAGAACGATTACCCTGTGAGCCCCACACCATCTGGACTGCGTTCATGAGATGTGGTCCGTCAACATCAACAAGATGCTGCAAACTATTATACGTATATCATTATTTATGAGAACATGCTGCGAACGTAAGATAGAATACGCAATCATAAACATCCTAACTTTGATAACTTTTTTTTAATGCACCATTGGAGGGATCTCGAAATATTGCACGGATCAGATCCCAGTCTTCTCCGATATAAGCTTTAAACGTTGGAGGAAAGCAAATAAGCAGAAAGACAGCAGACTGCATAGAAACGAACTAGTTAATCAAGAATCCGTGAGAACATTACCGTTTATGAAATTAACTTCCTCATTTATAGACTACTAATCTACATTTTAATTCAATAACTAAATTATTGTTTTCGTCCTCCATTAGTGGAATTCCCCGATCTATTTTAGTAAAAACAAAAGACAAGCATGTTTAAGGGGGGATGGATAAAATGACTAAATGCTTTCGAATTCAGTACCGAAAAGTGGAGCACAGAATCAAGCGGTCGGAGTACTTTCTCTCCTCCAGTTGAAGTTGTCAGTTTGACTTACGCAAGTATATAACCTTGCTAATCAATAACCAAATATTTTCCCTAATGTCATTGCATTGTGTCACTGAGATATGAGTCATTCATTGTATCAACTGTTTAGACCCATATGTTTAGTGTTACCTTACCAGACCTCGTGTATAGCAAATGGTTCCGGTAGAACACAAACTGACGGATCTGGAACCAGTCATTCAGCTGGTCAATAAAAGTACCAATTGAACCCAGAGGTTTTCGTAAAGTAAATAGTTGCGCTTGATTTAAGGAAAAATATTCAAGCGCATTGGATTTCACATACCATGGATATTGACTATGCAATTGTTCAAGGATGATCAATTCTCTGTTCATTATCTACCACCTAGATTTCATTATTTTTAAAGGGGATGACTCAGTCTGCCGGTCATCGGTCTCTATTCAAGCCCCTCATCTTCCACCCCACCCCTACAAGTAAAGTTGACCATTTTATCGGGGACTTACTCATCAGGTTTTGGATGCCGTTTTAGCTCAGTCATCACTATCTGCTCGGCATTTTCCGGCTCTGCAGATATTCCGATGCCACGTTTTCTTGGCTGCAGTTGTTGCTGTTGTTGCGGACAGTTAACGCTTCCACCCAAACCATCACTGACCAAATCCAATTTGTTTGTCTGACGCGAGAACACACTCTGATATTTGTCCAACGCACTGGTCAAATCCGCTATACGAATCTGACTGGCTGCCAGGTCATTTTTCAGACGCGCAATCTCCTCCTTCTGTTCCTCCACAACCTTCCTCAAGTCCGAATCCATATTCCGTATGAACGGGAAGAACGAGAATTTCTGCATAATCCACGAATGATCTCGAGTTCCGACGTGAATGATATCGAAAATACGTACGCACGCCAAATCACACTTAGGCACGGAGCCAAGTGCGCACACACAAAAGTGCACTCAATGCTAGTCCAAATGACGTCGTACAGAACAACACTTTCGAACCGAGTTAGTCGGTCGTATAGCTGACTATGGACTTGTCTGTCCCTGGTGATGACAACTATTAACTCGGACGTCTTTTACTACGTGTATTGCGCTGCCTCACATAAATCTTGTTTAGTTTTATTGATGAACAGGCCGACTAAAAACTGTACTTCTTTTGCCGGGTACTTAGTTCTCTCACTCTGTCGATAGTGAAGCCCGTGGTGGTGGTGGCGGCTGTGGAAGTGTTAGTTACCGGTTGTTATGTTCGTCATAGACCCCACTAATTGTGGTATTACGCACGCACGTGCACGCATGAGTGCTGACATGCATGCATCCCGACGTGTGTGTATGAATATGGTTGTGTGCTCTTCTGTAACCTCAATGATCCCTGCGTTATTGAGTTCCAAAGAAATTTCAAATTTTGTCTTATGTAGTGTGTCACATAAGTATGAACACAAGTAAAAGAGCAAGAGAAAAAAACAGCAGATACAAAAATTAGCGTCGTGTAGCACTGGTTCTCGAGGAAAATGGCAAATTTAAAAACGACGTGCTGAGAATTGATCACGTGAAGAAAAGTGACCTCGTTACTACCACTCATATAGGTGCGTGGGTTTATGCTCGTGTGTACGTTTCTATGTACGTATGCGTGCGAATACGTGTACGCATGCACACGTTTATACTGGATCAAGATGTATTGGAATTGAAACTGTGGCTCTCAGTGAAGGAGTAAGTTCTTTGTTTTTGTGTAATTCCAAACTTGGTAAATAGTCTGAACCAATCACGTGACAGAGAGGTGTAGATCAATGCAACACACGAAGGCGCGTACATCCAGCATACACCAACACACATACAGTCCGATCACAGTGAAACGCGATAGACGATGAAGACCTGTTCGTGAATGATTCCTCCTATTCAATATTCTCTTTCACACGAATTGAGTAAATCCATTGTGTACTTTAGGCTTGGTACAAGAGAATTACAAATTATTATCCAGATGGTAATATTTGCTTGAATGCAGAATGTGTTATGCAATAGACCTGTAAATAATTATGAGCAGAATCAAACCGTTGAACTGTTCAGACCGAATTTTAGTTCATACTCTTGTCTGGGTGGACGTTGTCCAGCTTGAACGGACCAATCAAAGAGCACCGTTTTCCCAACGGCAGCCAATCACAAACCAAACTGCTGTATGGTTTTCTACGATTATTCCAATAAGCCTCGGTCCATGATTAGTTGACACATATCATGATTGTCCGTCCCTACGTTCATCTAAACATTATATATCGATATGTCCCGATAAGTGACCTGAATTACATCCCCACACCTGTTGAGAAAAGTACAACCATGGATGCTGATGATACAAATCGTACGCATCGATTCGAATTCCGTTATGCTGATCCAAATTACGGTTCCTATTTCTCGAGCACCCACACTCACTCACTTGTTACAACAATCCGATTTTCCATCTTCGCGGCAAAAACACCACTTATTTTTTAATTAAAAGAGCAAATAAGGGACAAATAGATCAATTAATGCAAAACAAACGAATTTTGAAGTTGTGCTAAAATTCGGCCTTACAAGACCGGTTTTGATCCAAGAGAAACCAGGTTTTATGAGGACAGCTCGAGGCTTTTTCGAGAAGCAGTTTCATGCAGTTCCATTGAGGAGCATGTTGGAGGAATAGGACAGATTTACGCAGTGAGCTGCAAGATTTTATTTTCAATGAGATCTCTCATATAAAAAATAAACTGTGATGATGATAGACAAACTACTGTGTAGTATAAGTTATATTCACTGAATCCAACGAAGGATCGTACATGAATACAATCATTTTGTGGTCTGCGTTCGATCCCAAAATTACGTTTACTATTTATTCAAAGGATAAAGATGCTGAAGTTTATTGAAGGGGTTCTGATGTGATAAAAATCCTATTCCAAATGTCAGCTTTGCTCCTGATCTCCAAACCCTCAAAATGACAATCAGATCATTAAGAAGACAAACCAGGCTCAGGTTTAGCTTTTCATCTTATTCTTTTACACCAAACTAAAAATACATTTTCGGGGAAACGATACATTGGTCACCTCACTTCGCACGTGAGCTTCGTCAAGATTCAGCTATCAGTTGTGTTGTGTTTCAAAGGGAACCGCACTTCGAGATCTGACCATCGGTGTGTAAGCTTCTACTCAAAATATCAGCTTTTCTGACTGTAACTTAAATAAGGAACATCATGCACCAACACATTTCCCTTGATCGAAACAAATGGTCCATGTTTGCTCGTTCATCAAACTTGGCAACCTTGGAAAAATGACCATAACTGTGATCGCCTCAATCGCTCCTCTTCTGCAACATGTACAGAAGCGCTAAGACAAACACCAAGTCCTGTGACAAGGAAACTCAACTCCGAAGAATGAAATGAATAAACAGATATAAAAATGGGTCGCATAATTGAGCGGCCCATCTTTTACTAGTAAATCCACTCGTGGACTGGAGTGGAATCCAGATTAGAGCTAGGTTGTTCGGGAAGTTTTGTTGTTTTCCTCACGCTGGAGTGCACCTTCAAATGTGCACTTACGTAATCCTCCGGGTACAATATTTACGTAAAATGTTAGTTTCCGATTCATCGGGGTTGCAACTATCTCGACAAGAAACGTTTATGTTGAACTGCAGTCAAAATAAAAATATTAATCTGTTTGAAACAGTTGAAACAGGTGCTCCAAATTCAATGAATGTTCTGTTTTATTAACTCGACAATAATTAAACATTTCCGTTCCTTCGAAGGGCTCCTTGTAATGACTTTTTCATCCACTATCCATGAGATCATAGTGCACATGTACGTTCATAGGCGGTGCAATCGAGAATAAGTTGATCAGTTCGTCATTTGACCGATTGTTGTTTTACTTGAAAAGTCAGATCATTTACCTTTGGATTGAATAATAGACTGAAGTTTTGTGCACTGCTTTTATTTTCACAATGTTCAAGCAAAACTCAGGAAAACGATTCGGGGAAAAATATTTTTACAATATTCAAACAAACAAATCCTAGTGAAATGATTTATATAATGTTTACCGGATCCGGTGAATGCATAAATCTGTGCCTACTGACTTACTGACAGTTGGAGTTAATTTTTGATGGATTTATTTTCTCAGCCAAGCTTAGATCGGCAATTTATTCCATGCGCGCCCTTCGATTGGCTGCGCTACACTCTCGTGCTTGTTCGTCACGTTGGAATTTATCGTTTGCCTCTTTCATATACCGGTGTTAATCACATCCGGAATATATAAATATTCTCGTCAGGACACGCTAGGACTAAAAACTAAGAATTCTGCTCTACCCACTGATTGTTTGTTTGGTTTGAGTCGTCAAAGTCCTTGGATCAAAAAACGCAGACGGGCCGGATGGCAGACTGCACTTACTTGCACTCCTCCTGGCAAGATGACTGTGTCATCACTGGTCAGCAATAACGTTCGCTCACTATTCACAAACATCTCGGATTTAACCTCTATTCTGAACACATGCATTAATTCCAACACGTGCTGTTTGCGTGCAAGAAACCCAGCTGGATCAAAACATTGAGGACGTTCTCGTGTGAATAGAAGTATTTTATTGCTACCTGCAGGATAGACAGCGAAGTGGGGAAAAAACCGGAGGCGGTGTGGCTACTTACATCAATGTTTCCTGGTGTGGTAACTCAGAAGTTATATATGACTATTCTGAAAAATGCATTGACTGTTTGTCTGTTGGTCGTCACCCTACATTTTCTCGTCACAAAAGTACAATCATCACTAATGGTTATATATCTCCCTCGTGTACTCTGACCGATATGTATGCTTTCTTTGATTCCTATATTCCATTTCTAGTTTCATTATTAGATGAAAATATTCACTTATTTGTTGGTGAGTTCAATCATGCCAGCATTTCTCCCCTGCTTCCGTTTGGCCTGTCTGACCTTTCTCATTCTCTTACCAGAGGTAGTTCTGTTTTGGACAGAGTGATCACAAACCATTCCAACTTATTCTCTCTCAAACTGATGGCCCCGATTTTTACCAGTGACCATAGTATTCTTCTTGTTAGACCAAAGGTATACTCTCGCATTGCTTATCAAGCATTCACACGTTCTACTCAGATAAAATTCCATCCAAGGGACTTTTCACCCAACCGTATCTCTCTTCTCAACCGTTCTATTGTGATCGTTCAGTCTTGGTTTGGTTCTTGTCCTTCGCTTTTTAAATCTAGCAATCTGTTCACTGACACGATTAAATCAATTTTTAACTTGTGCCGTCCAGTGGAAACCTTGTTTGTCTGTAACGGTAGAATCACTTCATCCTTTTTGAAATCACTGAGAAGGTACAAAGAACTGGCCTACAAATCTCGTCTTGCCTCACTTGTAAAGCACTATTCTGAGTTAATCAGGTCCGAGATAACGTACCTCAATGCAATCTTCGCCGCCCAAATTCTGCGAACGAAGAACACCAGGCTCTTATGGCACCGTATTGGCCTTCTCTGTGGGCAGAACAGAAAACATTCTAATACCTCTGTGGATGTCAACAGCCTCAACGCCGCTTTCATCCACCCGTCAAACGAGAGCCAGATTCCCTCATTCCTATGCAATGAATCCAGTTCAGTGCCTTTTACCAATGATTTAATCTTTAAGCTTCTTCGATCCTGCAAAGCATCCTCAGCTGCAGGCCCTGATGGTCTTCCTCCGGCACTTCTGAAATT